GTTTGACCCACAAGCCTGTCTCAGCAGCATGCCTTTTAAATTGTCAGCAGGGTAACAGCAAAAAAAAAAAAAAAAAAAAAAAAAAAAAAAAATTACAAACAAATAGCATACAATAGAAAGGCTGTTAAAGAAAAATACTAGTCTCTTGCCATCCTCCTTACCCCATTCTCATTTCTGCCAGGCAAGCACTGCCCACAGAATTACCCTATCCCAAAGGAATGTGCCTACACTGCTATTTATTGATTTAATAGCTTAAGATATCTTTTCTTGATGCTGCAAAGGGAAAACTAAAGCTTTAGTTCATTTTTGCTACTTTTTCATTTTATGACAAGCTTTTAGTTTGTCTAGTGGTTGTCTCTGTGCTTTTGGCTACATCAAACTTGTCTTCCGTATGCCATCAGTGTCAGGCAGCAGCATCTGGTGACTTCCCTCCCCGCCCATGGGGACCCGGCAGGCCTGCTGGCCCTTTCAATCCCATCCCGTTAACTTTTTGGAGTATTTTCTCAAAGTATACTACAAAGAACTTTTTTCTTTGGACAATCATTGGAGAGTACCTTGCTCAAGGACTCTACCACAAACGAGGACACTCTCCTGCATAAACAGACCACAACCGTCAAAACCAAGACTGGAACCTTGAGGCATCACTGACAGCTAATCCCCTAGAGCCTGCTCGCTCCCCAGCAAGGCCCTGGATTGGAAAAGGTCGGATTCAGAATCACGCGCTGCATTTAGTTGTCACATCTCTTTAGTCTCCTTCAACCTGGGACAGTTCTCAATTCAGGTTCTTCTGATGTGACCTCACTCTCTGGTTAAGGCCGGGCATCTTGGCTGCCTCCCAGAAATGACTCTGTGCGCCTCCCGAGCATCCGGCCAGTGGAAACAGCTGATCTCCTTACTGATTCTGTAGATTTAGACCTAAGTAGATTTAGGTAGATTCTGTAGATTTAGACCTAAGTATTTCATTTTGGTGGATGCTAATGTAAATGGTATTGTGTTTTAAATTTTAAATTCCATGTGTTCATTGATCTTATATAGGAAAGCATTGGACTTTTGTATATTTACCTTGTATCCTGCAACCTTACTATAATTGTCTTTAGTTCAAGGAGGTTTTTTTTGGTTGTTGTTGATTTTTTTGGATTCTTTTTTTCATGTCATCTGCAATGGACTTTTGTATATTTACCTTCTATCCTGCAACCTTACTATAATTGTCTTTAGTTCAAGGAGTTGTTTTTTTTTGGTTGTTGTTGATTTTTTTGGATTTTTTTTTTTCATGTCATCTGTAAACAGAGGCAGTTGTCTTTCTTTCTTCTCAATCAGTATACGTTTTCTTTCCTTTCTTTCCTTACTGCAATAGCTAGGTCAGTATGATCTTGAAAAGGAGTGGTTATAGGGTGGCATCCTTGCTTTGTTCTTGATCTGTGAGTTTTTCAACATTAGGTATGATGTTAACTTTTTGGTAGATATTCTTTATCAAGTTGAATAACTTCCCCTCTATGCCTAGTTTACTAAGAGCTTTTTTTTTTAAAGTCATGAATGTTATGTGTTAGAGTTTGTCAAATGCTTTTTCTGCCATGAATGTTATGTGTTAGAGTTTGTCAAATGCTTTTTCTGCATCTATTGATATGATCGTGTGATTTTTCTTTCTTAGCCTGTTGATATGATGGATTAAAGTAATCAATTTATGAATATTGATCAACTTACATAACAGAGAACTCCCTCTTGGTTGTGGTATAAAATTCTTTTTATATATTGTTGGGTTCTATTTGCAATATTTTGTTGAGCATTTATGCACCTATCCTTGTGAGAGATTTGGGCTATAGTTTTCTTATAATGTCTTTGGTTTCAGGATTAAGGTAATGCTAGCTTCACAGAATGAGTTAGGAATATTTTCTCTGATTATCTTCTGAGAGTGATTGTAGAGAATTGGAATAAAATTCTTCCTTAAATGTTTGGTAGAATTCACCAGTGAACTCATCTGAGCCTAGTGCTATCTTTTTTTGGAAGGATATTAGTTATTGGTTCAATCTCTTTAGTAGACATAGGAATATTCATATTTCTTCTTGTGTGAGTTTTGGCAGATTGTGTCTTTCTAAGAATTGGTCCATTATGTCATCCAGATTATCAAATTTATGGGCATAGAGTCATTCATAGTACAGATGCTCCTCAACTCGCAACAGGGGTAAATCCCAATTAAATCTATAATTAAATCAAAAACATCATAAGTCAAATACATTTAATACCCTGATAACCCATCTTAAATTGAATTCCTTTATTCCTGGTTCCCTTATTGTCTTTTTAACACCCACGGGACCTTTTGTGGTATCCTCCCTTTCATTTCTGATATTAATAATTTGGATCTTCTCTCTTTTTTTCTTAGATATCCTGGCTAGGGGTTTATCAATTTTATTGATATGTCCAAAAGACCAGCTTCTGGTTTCATTCATTTTCTCTGCTGATTTCTTGTTTTCAATTTCATTGATTTCTGCTCTAGTTTTTATTATTTCTTTCCTTCTGCTTACTTTAGATTAATTTGCTCTTCTTTTTCCAGTTTCCTCAGGTAGAAGCTTAGATTATTAATATTAGGCCTTTCTTCTTTTCGAACATATGCACGTTCTAATCTATTTTTCTGTAGCCTGCCTAGAACAAAGGTTGTCATCTTTACTTTTATTTCCTCTTTGCTGTGCAGAGCCTCACCTGGTTGTCTGAGGTTGACATGCTATGCATCCTCACTGTAGCAGTATCCCTTCAGGTATCCGGAGCCTAGGTTTGTCCCAGCAGACAGGTGGTTTTGCTCAGCCGTCAGTATTTCTAGTGCACCACAGGGGATCCACACAGATAAATCTGTTGGCTGCAAGTTCTCTGGGAAGGAGCCAGACTGGAGTTTTAGTGAGTGTTTATGGGAATGAAGTGAACTGGCCTCTCTATTTCTTTAGGCAGTAGGTATACATGACTTCTCTCTTCTGCATGCCTTTGTTTGCATATGTGTGTGTTTCTGTTGGCCAGCTATGTACTGCAAAGAGGCTAACTGGTGGTCCCTAGCTTTGGCAGCATGTTGGAATCCTGGGGGAGCCTGAGACACACTGGTGTTGGGGCCCTACTCCCTAGCTCCTGATGACCCTGCCTGGGCTGGGCCCTGGATGCTGGGCGACTGAAAGCTCTTCAGGCTATTGGGACATGAGCTCAGGTTGAGACTGCTGTGCCAGACACTTTCCTATCATAAAACCTTCTTTATCTACCCCAATTCCCCCAGAACTTACATAAGTATTAATCATTAAGATATTGGAATAAAGAGTGAAGGTCCAGGCAGCACCCCAACATACTAGTCTTAAGCTGAGTTACTGGGCTTCCCTGCCTTCTAAATAACTTTCCTGCTTGAGTCACACAGGGTGTCTTTCCAGGTCAGGAATTCTAAGGAGTGCCAGGAGAATTAACCTCAATGGAAGGATACTGGGAAGTCTTGCAAACAGACTCCTTTCTGAAGTTGCCCAACAGGCCACACCCTTTGTAAGGCTTAATGCCAAGAGTCAGGGGACCCTCTGGCCCGGAGATCCCTCCCCTCTGGTGTTTGCAGAGACAGGCGGGGAGGGCGCCTGCAGGAGGAAAACATCCTCATATCAAAGCTTCTGCTCTTGCCTCTGGCTGCCAGTTCGTAGAACCCTAAGCAGACGGTGTGAGCCTCTCAGAGCACCTTGTGCAATATGCACACCTGGATTTGGGGTGCGAGTGGGAACAGGGCTGAAGGCCCAGAGATTGATGTCCCACTAGTGGGTTGATGGAAGGGGAGAGAAAAGAGTAGCCACATTAGGGGAGGCAGGAGTGACATTAGGAATTTGGGCAAAAGGAAATATTGGGATAGTAGTGAGAAGGAGAGTGGGCATCCCTCGGGAGTCCCTGTAGGAGGGTGGGGAGAGCTGGTTGCCGCATGGGAGCCGGGGCTGCTGACTCAGGTGAACGCTGATGGAGAGAGAATCCCTGAGGCTAGAGGGTGAGGTCAGGGCACTCAGTGGCCCTCAGGTGACCCGTGACAGTGAATGGGTCTAGCCAGATATCTGCTGCCTACCCCATCTCCCACTCCTTAAGGAACAAGTTCCGGGGGTTGGTTCTAGAACTCTTCTAGAAACTGTTCCTGACAGGCTCACTCCACCCTCTTCATGTGTGGTCTACACCATGAGTGTACCAGCTCAGGGCGATGAATGTGGCTGACGGTCCCTGGCTCGGGCCAGGAGGCAGGACAGAGCATTACTTTCCCCTGCCCCAGCACTCATTTATTCAGGAAAGTCTGTGGGGCAGGTACTGTGCTGGGCTCTAGAACAGGAAGCCCAGGGACATGGAGCACTGCCCCTTTGACTCAGCCAGGCTCACCCCCCATGGAGCTCCTCTGTGGAAGCGTGAGCTTGCTCCCGGTGGAAGCCCTGAGCAGGCCTGGCTGCTGGATGCCAGCCTTCGGGCGGGAGAAGGAAGGGAGGCTGCCTGGAGGTGCTGGCGTCATGGCGGAGGCTGAGCTGGGTTCCCCGGTAGAAGCATGTTCTGGGCCAGGAGCTGGCCACGCAGAGGCCTGGAGGCGGGAGGGGCACGGGGCCCTGTAGATGCTGTGCAGGACGCTGGGCAGAGAATTCTGGGAGCAATTCTAAGAGGGGCAGGGAGGGAACAAGACAGAGAGGCGAGGTGGCCCTGGTGTCCGAAGGCGGGGTGTGGGGGAGGGTGTCTCCAGGCCCTTGTCTGGAAGTGGTTAGTTAGGGAAGAAGCTGTGTAGGCTGTGCCCACAGGGCCGTGGGCTGGGGCATTCCAGAGCTCAGTCCCGGGGCCGACAGATGAAAGGGACTGAATGGATGGACTTGGCCAGTGACCAGGGGCTTTGCAGACTGCATCTCCAGAGCCTGGGAAGCCTCTGGCCCCCTGCTCCTCTCTTTCTGAGACAATTCAGATGGCCCGACTGAGTCTGAGCAAAGCATGTTCCCTTTTCCGTGGGATGTGTTTAACCTTCCTTCCTTCCTCCACAGATCCGGACAAAGGACAGAGTCTTCGACAGCATCAGCCACCTCATCAGCCACCACCTGGACAGCAGCCTGCCCATCGTGTCTGCCGGGAGCGAGCTGAGCCTCCAGCAGCCGGTGGAGAGGAGGCAGTGACCCGGCCAGCGTCTCTCCGGACGCCGTGCGCCAGGTCGGGGGACCTGGGAGAGGGACTGGGGCAGCTGCCCGTGGCTCAGAGCCTTGTTCAAAAGACCCCAAAGGAAGGCTTCCTTCAAGGTCAAGTTTCATAAACTTATTCCAGGTTTCTCATATGCATATTAAAGGTGTACATACCTATAATCCCTGTACAAATTATCCCTCTATATTTATATTTTTTAAGACTAAGAAAGATGTAAGACTCATGCTCTGTGCCATATGTTTTTAATGAAAAAAATGTTTGGCTGTAGTTGTCCACGCAAAAATCTAATTCAACTGACCCTTTCCACCAGGAAATTCCAGTAGGAAGGTGTAACGTGCAGTCCTACCTGCTAAGCACAGTTCGAGGGGAATAGCGGCAGCAGGGGCCAAACACAGGCGCACTGGGTAAGGCACCATGCTGCCCAAGGACGTCTAGCGCTGCGCTTACAGCACTGCGACACGTTGGTCCTGGGCTTGCTAGAGGGGGTGGGCGTCCTCCTTGGGCTGCTGGCCGTGCCCCCTGTGCTCCCCGCATCGCACGCCACGCGCTCGGGGTGTCTGGCCCCAGACAACTCTCTGCAGCTTCGCTACAGAGCAGGCAGCACGCCAGCGTCCCGGGCCTCGCTGAGCGCAGGAACCCATCACCTTCGATCCTGGTTGTGCTGGGGCACTTGGGGATTCGCTTTGTGCCAAACATGGCACAAAACGCACCTCGCCAACCAAGGTCTCCATTGACAAATGCTTCCCTTGCTCTCATCCTTCCAATGACAAAATGAGTACTGTAGCGCGTAGTCGAGGCAAAGGCTCGCTCTACACATCCTCGGGACAGCAGAGGAGCTCCGGGCCCCTGGTGGCGGCTGCAGTAAACTGGCTCCCTCCTGTGTTCAGCGGGGAGAGGGCTGTGCAAGAGCCCGCTGCGGCGGGCACGCCCGTCCAGGCCCGGAGACGCGGGCACCAGCTGACGGGCCTGGGTCTGCGTGAGCCGGAAGCTTGGTCTGGGGCTTGGGCGTCCCTGGACTCAGTTTGCAGTTCCACCTCTGGAGCGACAGAGGGAGAGATGCCTGCTCCACGCGGTGGGCGTGCGCCCACGCCACACTTGCCTGCACTCCCTCCCTTCCCGATGAAACGCTGTCGTGTCCCAGTGGGTCACTCAGTGTTTGGAGATGGCAATGTTTATAACTCTTTAAAAATACCCGGGCTGAGACTGCCCTGTGATTTGACAGGTGTCGCTTACGCGATAGGTGGATCCATTCATTCGTCTACACCTCCTCACGGTGCTGCAGCCTTGGTTCTTGTCCCTGTGAGGCCCGCAGGGTAGGCACTGGGACCGGCTGAATGGAGAGATGCCCCAACTTAGATTTGGATGGTGATAAATGTGATGCTTTAAGGGGAGACTGTCAAACATCCAGTGGTTAATAATTCTGTGACATTCTAATGCTAAGGGTGCGAACCCGGTTCTGCTTTGGCGGTGCGTGTGGCCAGATGGGAGGACAGGGGAGGGCTAACACGTGAGGATCAGTCAAAACAGGTCCCGAGCTTCATGCGTAGCCTTCTTTGGAGGTTTGCCCTTTGCGGGCCCAGTGAAATCCAAGTCCGCGTTCCAGGGTGTTCTGCAGTGGAGCGGAACTCTGCAGAGCCTGGCACGAGCTAGACCGCCCTGCTGCTTCCTGAACCGGCGTCAGGGTTGGATACGGGGCTGAGCAGGCAGGCCGGGCCAGGCTCCTGCCATGGAGCAGTGTGGTCAGTGGCTCTGACAGCTGCCCTCTTCTCCCGTCCCCTGGGAGGCCTGTAGCCCTGGCGAGGCCCGCCCCTCCTGTGTGTGAGTGTGCGCTGCATATGGGAATGTAGAAAATTACCTTCTTCAACATTCTTGCGTTCTCCACGTGTTCAAGGCCAAAATGCTAATGTTAAGGAACACAAGCAAAGTAAGAAATGAAAGTTAAGAGCCATGAGCATCGTAATGGCTGATCTACTTTATCATTCCTCTCCAAGGGCCCTAAGAAATAGTAATCCGCAATTTCAGTAGCTCTCTGCTGTGAAGTAGGAGTTTATTTCGATGACGATAAGCAATATACATATAGAAAATATTTTTGCATGAGAATCAATTTAGAAAATTAAAAGTACTGGGGTCAAATTTTTCTTTTCAATATTAATTTGAAATGCATATTTTGAGCTCTTAATACAAGATTGCTTACACTGGAACAGTGCCGGTGGAAAAACTGGCACTCCTTAGCCATCAGAGCAGACTTCAGACGTGGTGGATGGCAGCGACTTGCTAATTCTTTTCCAGTTGTAAAGCGTGTTAGAATGCACATGAGTTTATTTCAGTTCTTCCTTCAGGCGCTGTGTGATGGGCCATTCCTGTGAGCCTCACTTCACACATGGGGAAACTGAGGCTCAGTGGGCGCCACACCTTGCTTGGGACCATGCAGTCATCTGGCTGCAGGGCTATTCCGCTCACTTCGAGTTTCCCAAGCTCTCCTGTGCGCCAGCTCGTGCTTGGAGCTCAGGATTCCGAGGCAAATGCAACGGGGCCTCTTCCCTGCCCACCCTGGGATCCACTTCCCCGTGGTCTCTCGGACCACATCTCGGCCTGGGCAGGGCAGGGCTGCTGAACAGCAAATGCGAGCAGAACAGCACAGTGCTGTGCACTCCAGGGGTTCAGAGCTCCAGGGCATGGTCGCTGCAGGCTGTGCTGGGCCACCCTGAGCCCATGGAGTGCTTCTGGGCCTTGCTGCCCCTCCCATGGGCACCCCACATTCAACCCAGGACTCCGTATCTGCTGGGAGTGCCAGGCAGGGCTGGCAATCTTCAAACAGCCTCTCCCTGCTTCTGCAGGATGGCCCTGGAGACACTTGCCACCTCTGAGGGGGGTGCTCACTGTGCTTTGAGTCACTTTGGCTACCAAGCCCCCTTCAGCCACCAGCTCACTGTGGAACCAGGTAGGCAGTCCCATAAACACCAGTCAGATGACCCAACGTGACATCCTCCACTTCAGCCTCCGCTGTTGGGTCTTTCCCCGATACGTTTGCGGGGCCAGAAGCTGGGTGCCCGCTCAGCCTGGTGACATGGTGGATGGCAGCGACTTGCTAATTCTTTTCCAGTTGTAAAGCGTGTTAGAATGCATATGGGTTTATCTCAGTTCTTCCTTCAGGCGCTGTGTGATGGGCCATTCCTGTGAGCCTCACTTCACACATGGGGAAACTGAGGCTCAGTGGGTGCCGCACCTTGCTTGGGGCCATGCAGTCATCTGGCTGCAGGGCTATTCCGCTCACTTCGAGTTTCCCAAGCTCTCCTGTGCGCCAGCTCGTGCTTGGAGCTCAGGATTCCGAGGCAAATGCAACAGGGCCTCCTCAGGCCCCATTCCATTTAAGGCCACCTCAGGTGTTGGGACAGATGGACAAAGGCCTGAGTGGGTCAAATGTGGTGTCATTGAGGGTCTCCTGGTGGCAGCGGGGGTCGTGGATCACTTCAAATGAAGGTGGGAAGTGAAGAGGCGTGTGCGGAGGTGAAGGCCTGGCTTAGAAGGGGGCACAGGCCCGGGGGAGGGCGGACCCGAAGGTGCCACGTGCTGAGGGGCGCAGTGAGCCTGTATATTCAGCCTCTGTGCCTGCCCTGGGTCCCGAAGGTGGCCCCAGCGCCTGAAACGAAGATTTCCTTTCCAGTAGCATCAGGTACCGCGTGGCTCCTTTATATGAGCAGTGTGTAAGGCGCACACCCTGGTCCTCGTTGCCCTGAGCTGGTCACCACATGAAGGCAATCACACAGTTCCCTCCTGCTGGACTGGGCCAGGCAGGAGCCCCGGGCCACAGGCCTCCCCAGGCAGTGCCAGCATCGGGGACACCTCGTCCAGCCTCAGCTCAGGCACACCTGGAAAGAGGTGGCCAGTTCTGGGTGTGTGCACCTTGGCCTGCCCGGCCGTCCTCTCTCGCTGGTCCGCGCTTGCACGCCATCCATAGATCCCGTGGTGAAGCAGGACTGGCGGCGGGTGGGGCGTTGTGGGAACGCTGCACAGAGGTCACTGCAGGACCCAGACGGCTCTTTGCTGCAGGTTTCAGAAAGTGCTCTGGTTCTCCAGTGGAACTTTGACAGGGAGTTCCGAGAAAGACAGAGAGGATAAGCATGACTCCTAGAACATATGGCCAACTGAGAACTGTCAGCTGCATATGGGATGGCAAGGAGGGGAGCCTTATAAAATAGTCCAGCTGGAGGGGCCCCCATTCTTCAGCTGAGGAAACTGGAGTCATGTGATGTGCTGAGGGTAAATCTCAGAAACAGCACAGGACTTACTAAGGTCCTTCATCCCTGGAGAAAGTGGCAAAGGGTGCCTCTCCCCTGGCGTTTTACATCTGTGCTCCATCTCAAAATGCATAGAGCTCTGAGTTTTCAGAGGGAAGAGGCAGGATTTCTATTTCCTCTATCTTAGCTGCATTCCTCCAGGGGACCTGAGAGAAGCTCCCTGTGTATGTCATTTACCGGGTGACGGTCGGGAGCAGGGGAGACAGCTGCAAGGAAGGAGTGCGTTAGCAAGCCGGTTACCGTGGCGTGGACAGCTGGGCTTACTCCCACTAGGAACCCGGGGAGACAGGGCTGAGCGCACATCAGAGTCAGCTCGGCAGAGGGGGGAGAAGGCTGGGGTATTTATGCACTGCTCTGTCATTGGTGGGAGGCTGTTTCTGGGAACAATTTCTGACTGGCCTGTGCACATCTGACACACTTCCCAAGCAAGGAAAGTGCTGTGCAGAGACAGGTGTTGGTGATGAGCAGACTTGGAGCATACGGCAGGCGGCAGGCTGCCTCAAACACAGATTGCAGCCCTGCGCACACCCAGGCTCCTGACTCCAGAGGCCTGGAGCAGAGCCTGAGAGTTTGCATTTCAAATAAATCGAGAGGTGATGCTGGTGCAGCCGGTCTGGAGTCTGTTTCCAGCCCTTCCTGCCTCTTATTGATGGCTTTTCCCCTCTAATTTATGATTATGTTTTCATACTACTTCATTTCGTAGCTCTCAGGGCCCATGCTGTGAATTTAAAAGTGGAGAATTAATAAGCATTTATAACTCCATGCAACCGTTGCTGGCAGCTCAAATGCCATCTGCCAGCCACAATTTATTTATAATGGGGTTTATACATATTTATAAGTTTGCAAGCAACAAATGCACACTTTTAAAACTGGCACATTTTATAGCAGCCAGAAAAATTGCAACTTTATACCAGGACTTGTGAATGTGAATTGCATACGCACATACATACATGCGTACACTTACATCGACTGATGCGGATCTGCATCTCTCTGAGCACTCACACAGATTAGTGCTGCTCCATGCACCCTGGGACCCCACCCTGGGCTTTGGTTTGTAACTGACAGGGACAACTAGAAAGTCAAAGTCAAACAAATGTCTGGGGATTGGCAGGCCTTGGGATCTGCCGTAGAGGAGGGTCCTGGCTGCTGCAGGTGTGACCCCAGCACAAAGGGAGCAGGAGCGGGGGCAACAGGGCTTGGGGGAGTCCACCGTGGGAAATGACAGAGGAGCCAATAGGGGAGACAAAGAAAGAAGAGGGTGGCAGGATAAAGGCAAGAAGAAGGGAGAAGAAGGACCTGCATCTAGCAGAGCGTGGCAGGGAAGGAGGAGGGGGAGGCATGGCAGAGGAGGCTGTCCTTGTGGTGCCGTGCTCCAGTGTTGTGTTCCCAGGTACAGCTGCATATGCTTAGTGCAGCATCCCTGCTTTTCTAGCCAACCTCGGCCGCATTTGTGCATTAGTTCATATGTGGCAGGCCCTGTACTGGGCTCATGCAACACAGAAGTGAACATACAAGGTTTCTGCCCGAGTTTAAATCTAGTAGGGGATACACACATACACATGCAAGCATGTTGGAGTGTGACAACCCTTACAGTCCTAGGGCGTCCAAGTCTGTAAGATCAGCAAGGGTGGAGCACCCAGGTCAGTCTGGGGACTCTGTGCAGGGTCCACAGAGCAGGAGTCAGGTGCTGAGTGTCAGAGGGGCAGAGGAGAGCGAGGAAAGCTCAGGATGGAGCAGGGCGTCACCAGTGTCAGCAGGGGTGCTAGAGTGGCTGGGAGGTGCTCCCAGCCGGCCTTCTTTCCTCCTCCCTGCTGTCTCAGACGCCCTGAATAAATGAATCCCTCAGGCCCCAAACAAACAGGCTCCTTCCCAGGGCTGGAAGAACTATTCTCACTGAATAAAGCGCTAGAAACAAAATCTCTTACAATTTTAACTTTCTATTTTGTGCTTACCTTGAAATGCTGTAGGTAGGAAAACATGCACACGGAGAGTGAATGCTCTAGTCCCGAGCTTTTGAGGTCGTGAATTCCCACTCATGTAGACATTTTACCACAACCAAAGTTTCTAACCACCAAAATCAAGTGATAATTTACCAAGCAGAAATTAATGGACAAACCCATCTTTGAACATTGAATTATCTTTTTTTGTAATAACTGTGTGTTGGTTGCAAGTGAAACATTCTCTGTTCATTTGACTTTTGAATATAACTTGTTCCATCCAGAATATTGTAAAATTAAGTATGTGAATGTTTCTTTGTATTCAGAATTAAACATTTGGTGTTTAAATCCCAGGATTAGGAGACAACTCCATGTAAATTTAATGTGTAATAATGATATATTTATTACTCTTTAAAAAAACATTTGGATGGCAAACTATACATATTGATAAATGAATATTATTTGAAATTTTGTTTCCATTAACTTTTGTGAAACAAACAAAAATGGCTGTAATGTTCTGTGTCTTGGCCTATTGCCAATTCACCACTTTCTACTTTGATATTGGAACAGACTTGGCCTTTTGGACATCCCTGAGGAGTGGAAATACAAAACTCACATCAAGTTTTCTAATCTTTGTTCTGTGAAAAATGATAAAACCTAAGTAATTTGGCCAACCTTTTGGAGAATTGACAATATGATAGGTGAAGAGGATTGGCTTAAGTTCCCTCTTCACCTTCAGTGAATCCGGTGAGACCCTTCACTCCTTCAGGAAATGCTGTGGTTGCCAATTGCGATCCCTCGTGATGCGTCGTGCATCCTTGTGCTTTTGGGATGGCCAAGTGGAGTATCACATAGCATCGTGTCGCCACTGTGACCCATGCGTGGAAGATGACACACCCAATTTAGGTCACGCTGCACTTCTCATTGTAACTGGTTATTGGAAAATGTGCCTTTATTATCAGAATAGTGGTATGTGCATTTCTGATTATGTAGCAAACCCTTTGGATATTTGACTTAGATACTAAAAACATTTGGGTGTTGAGGTTTTGCACTTGTAGATATAAGTTAAAAGCATGGCATTGGTCATTCAATTAGATGTTTTCTATAAAATGCAGCTTGTGACATTTCTGTGAAAGGCTCTTCCCAATGCAGAATAGCTATGGCTCAACGGTTGAGAGAAACAACCATTTTCTAAATAGCTGATTGTTTAAATGACTATAAATGTAAGTCTGCTGGCAATAAAGGCAATTGTGAAAAGTCTCTTTCATTTGGATGATGGATCTTGTATTGCCTCACAAAGGAGAGGAGGGGAGCTTGGAACTTCTCCTTAGAAAGCACGCATTCTCAGGAACCCCCAGAGGCTTCTCTAAAAGCAATCCCAGCAGAGCCTCACTCCAGCCGTCAAGGCGGCCGATGAAAGCGGCATCTTGGCGGAAGCGTCCCTGGCGCTGTGGTCTAGGCAAGGCACCTCGTCACCCTGGCTGAGCCAGAGGGGCCGCTGCACCAGAAGGCTGTGGTCTTTGGGTGTGTCGGAGGCATTTCGCCACCAGTTGTGACAAGGTCACCACAAAGACAGTTATGCCGAACCCTGGCCTCCTCTTTATGTAGGACGCAGGACAGAGAGGCTAATGCCGACCACCTGTGTGAGAGAAAGCTAGAGTACAAGGGCTGGTTCTGACCACTTCCCGCTGCATAAACAGCAGCCAGTGCAGCAGAGCCCGATGTCCCGGCTCTTTGGTTGCGCTGTGGCTGCCCATGGGACTCACAGTGTTCCCTATCAAAAGGGTTGTCCAGGATCCTTCCTCGAAACATTGTGATCTTTCAAAACTGTAAATAGTGCCCACTGCAGCAAAGGTTCATTAAAACACCATCGATAGTGGGAAAGTAGAAGGGGAAAGGCTATTTGGGGCTATAAATGTGGTTTAATTTCCAAAATGCAGAGCGACACAGGTCCCCGGCGAGAGGCAAGCCCCCAGCATGGCACGCTGCCGGGTGGGGGCGGTGGGAAAACCACAGGATAATCGCACTACGTGGACTCCCAAGAGTGGTTTTTATTTTCATTTTTTAACAAACATACATTGGAAATAGTAAAGGTCACTACCTAAAGAGACATCTTACATGTAGTTTCTCTGCTGTGGTGTATAAGATCATCTGTTTCCAAACTTAAGGATTAGGGCTCTGAAACACTCAGCTGCTAAATTATCTGCAGCTGCTCAGCTAGTCAGGCACGTGCCTATTGCTGACAAAGGTGGCTAGATTTTGCATATAGCAAATGAGCACAATTACGTTTTTGGTATATTTTAAATTCAGATTGGTAAAAGTCTTGGATTATCTCAAAGGAGCCTCAGGTCACTCCACAAACATCGGTACCTCCTAGTGGGAACGGGGCGTGTGGGCTCCCTAGAAACGCTGACAGATGGCGCTGGAAGATGTGGGGACATCTGGGTATGGAACAAAGTGTTACTGGATCAGCAGCAGAGAGATCAAAGTCCCTGGAGCAGCTCACAACTGTGACATAAAGTCCTGGTCATTTCATCACCTTTGTGAGAATGCAATACCAAACATTCTTGCTCCCTGATGCTTTTGCTTTTTGTTTTTTCTTGACCTAGTAACTTAATGCTTTACTCTTCTAGACATGCCCATGAGATAATGTCTTACCTCACGCTATTTGATAAGACAATAAGCTACTTTTCAGGGATGTGGAGAAGGAAACACAAAACACCCCTAATGAACATCTTACAAATAGGTTTCATCTCATCAGTAACAAAAAATTAGAAAAGTCTTTGGTCAATCCATGGAGGTCACCCAGAACCCCTGGAAATGTTCCTCAATAACAGTAACTTGCATCAGATAACAAACAAGAATCAATTTCTCATGGCCGGGCACGGTGGCTCACGCCTGTAATCCTAGCACTCTGGGAGGCCAAGGCAGGAGGATTGCTCAAGGTCAGGAGTTTGAAACCAGCCTGAGCAAGAGCGAGACCCCATCTCTACTAAAAATAGAAAGAAATTAATTGGCCAACTAAAACTATATAGAAAAAATTAGCCAGGCATGATGGCGCACGCCTATAGTCCCAGCTATGAGGGAGGCTGAGGCAGGAGGATCGCTTGAGCCCAGGAGTTTGAGGTTGCTGTGAGCGAGGCTGACGCCATGGCATTCTAGCCCGGGCAACAGAGTGAGAGTCTGTCTCAAACAAACAAACAAACAAACAAACAAAATAATCAATTTCTCTTAGAAAAAGTTAATCTTTTCAGTTATACTCAGCCAAAATTCTCATTGGACCTAAAAGATTTTAGGGGATTTTGAAGTGAGGTTCACCTAAATAAGAATCCTTTTGAAAGTGGGTTATTTTCGTTTTTAATCTTATAAAGACCTCAACACAGCAGCAGTGTACTTATCATAGCTCTAAACATGTTTATTTTTCATATATTTGTATTGCATGCAGAATCCTTGGGGAAGAACATATACAAAAATGTCTTCGAAGTAATCCTTTATAAGGTAAACAGGGTGATATAGGTTCAATTTACGTTGAAAAGTAAAATTACAGTGTCATGTGGTTATGATTCAATATATCTCTTTGAAGAAGTATAAATTGCCAGATCACACCTCCCAGCCTGACACTGGACTCTCACAGTCACTGTGGCTTCATCTACTGCCAGATCACACCTCCCAGCCTGGCACTGCACACTCTCACAGTCACTGTGGCTGCATCCACTGCCAGATCACACCTCCCAGCCTGACACTGGACTCTCTCAGTCACTGTGGCTGCATCCACTGCCAGATCACACCTCCCAGCCTGACACTGCACACTCTCAGTCACTGTGGCTGCATTCACTGCCAGATCACACCTCCCAGCCTGACACTGGACTCTCACAGTCATGGTGGCTGCATTCACTGCCAGATCACACCTCCCAGCCTGACACTGGACACTCTCACAGTCACGGTGGCTGCATTCACTGCCAGATTACACCTCCCAGCCTGACACTGGACTCTCACAGTCACGGTGGCTGCATTCACTGCCAGATCACACCTCCCAGCCTGACACTGGACTCTCACAGTCACGGTGGCTGCATTCACTGCCAGATCACACCTCCCAGCCTGACAACTGGACAGTCTCACAGTCAGTGGCTGCATTCACTGCCAGATCACACCTCCCAGCCTGACAACTGGACAGTCTCACAGTCGGTGGCTGCCAGCTCTCATCAAGCCATGGAAGTGCCACTCAGCTGTGACACTATGTGGGATTTCTGACTTGGTGCTTTTCTGGTGTGGAATCCAAGTGCTGTCTGTGCACCTCTCCTGACTGCAAGGACACCCTCTGTCACGGGAAACAGGGCACCAGCCCGTGACGTGGGGAGGTGAGCCAGAATGGCTGCCTGCACCTGTTTGTCCTTCACGGCTTCTTTCTTTGGCTGGTTTGGGGTACAGGCCTTGGGGAGATCTTGGCTGGCTTTTCAGTAATTCGTAGAAACCCCCAAACCATCATGTGATTTGGCTTCGGGATGTGCTTAAAATGATGCAGGGACACATGACTGAGGGACTCAGGGCTCATCTGGGTCAGATCCACACATCTGGCCCAGCCTCGGAGGTGTCCTTTTTGAGAATTTGGGCCTTTATAAATATGCTTAACACAGGACTTCATGTCGCTCTGAGAAGACTGGGAACAGCATATCCACCTAAGTCACAGCCATGTCCTTGTACCAGGGGGTTCCTTCACAACAGCCTTGTATCACCTGTCACATAACCGTGTGGTGTATTGAGACTTCATGTAGGTGCACACAGCACACACCTGGATGCAAACTGTGGAGCACAGAAGCGCAGGCTACTCAAGCACGTTTTCTGCACAGTAAACGTAGTGCAGAGTCATCCAGACATCACCCAGAGGCACCCTGAGAAACAGCATGCGCGGCCACGACCTCCCTCCCTGGGAACAGAGAGCGGTGTCCTGGCTTCAGTGGCAGGCGGCGGATGACGTTGGCAGCGTAGTGCATTCAGAAGACTCTACAGCACAAGACGGACAAGGCATGGAGCCCACACTGCAACGGGCTGGGGAGTCCTGGGCTCCGCTCCTCAGGGGACTCCACACTGGGCAGGCCTGGGCACAGTGAAGTGGCTCTGCCCAGTCACACTCTTAAAGGGCCCACATGGAAGCGACGCGTGCGATCTGCAAGGACACAGCTGCAGGGCGGGCACGCGGACATGTCACTTGCAGAGGATCCCATTCTGCAGCGTCTGGCTTCTGTCAATGATGCAGGACGAGGTGGCTGCATGGGGCAGGTCTTCCCTGACCTTTGGGGAGTGGCTGCTGCTGTTGCTGCTGCTCGATTTGCTTCTGCTCGGGTCAAGGGCCGGCTGGGTGGGTGAGGTGCGGGCCCCGGGGCCCCTGACCAGGCAGCTGCAGACCAGGCGGAAGAAGGCGCGGCGCATCTCCTTGCTGGCCAGCGTGTAGATGACAGGGTTCATGGCGGAGTTGAGCACAGCCAGCACGATGAACCACTGCGCCTTGAACAGCACAGGGCATGCCTTCACCCTGCAGGCCACGTCGATGAGGAAGAGGATGAAGAGCGGGGACCAGCAGGCGATGAACACGCTCACAACAATCACCACGGTGCGCAGCAGGGCCATGGACCGCTCCGAGTTGTTGTGGTTGGCCACCTTGCGGCTGCTGGACTTCACCAGGAAATAGATGCGCGCGTAGAGGATGACAATGGTCAGCAGAATGGCCGTGAAGATGCTGACGCAGAAGGCGATGTACTTCTTGGAGTAGAGCGGCAGGATGGTGGAGCAGTCGGGGAGGTTGTGCAAGCAGTTCCAGCCCAGGATGGGCAAGGCGCCCAGTGAAAAGGCGATGAGCCAGCACATCCCTATCAGAAGGAAGACGCGGTGCTTCTTGTTGGCGTCATAAGGCCTCATCTTGATCATCGTCAAGTGCCTCTCGATAGCAATGGCCAGCAAGCTGCAGGTGGACGCCCCGAGGGCCACGAACATGCTGCCCTCCCGTAGGAACCAGACCGTCGGAGACAGGCTGAACGTCTTCTTGCCAGACATCAGAATGTTGACCGTGTAAGCGATGCCAGCCAGCAGGTCGCAGAGAGCCAGGTTGCCAATGAAAAAGTACATGCGGTTGTGAAATTTATTGTTTTTCCAGATGGCAATCAAAACCATCAGGTTCTCCAGGACGATGAAGCTGCAGATGACCAAGAAGAGGACGGTGGTGAGCGTGCTGCCCTCAGGGGCCTCCTTCAGCCTGCCTGCCAGCTTGCCCACGTAGTTGTAATGCTCTTGCAGGGTCTCGTTCCCACGGGCCGGCGGGCCGCGCGGCGGGAGGGCGGTTGCCATCGCGCGGCAGGCAGCGGCGCTAGCTCTGGAGTCCACGAGAGGGCGCCCGAGGAGCGTTCATTTCAGGGAAACCGGGACCGAGGCTCCGTCGGGCTGAGCGCGGGCGCGGCCCGGCAGGCGCGTTGCGAACAGCCGCCTGCAAGAGATAAGAGGAGCAGGCGCTGGCAGAGCCGCCTCCACCAAGGGCGCGGCGACCCTGGGACAACGCGCTGCCAGCCCTCGGGGCTCCTGCGCGACGGAGGGAGGCCAGGGAGTGGCGCGGGCCGGCGCTCGGTGCGGGGCGCGGACCGTGTAATCTTGGAACGCGCACAGGCCAGGCCAGGCCTCCGTCGGGAATCTCGGCGCGCCAGGAAACGCCGACGGTAGTCCGCTTCCACCACGCGGGAGCTGGGGAAACGCTGTCCCACTTACCCAGAGAGAAACAGGGTTCTCAGGACAGGAAACCAGGGTGGAATCTGACTGAGGCGCCCAATTCCCGGAACCTCCCGATGAGAGCCCACACTCCCAGACAGCCGCCCTGGGGCAGGAACCGGCTCCAGAAGTGGGTCTAGACGGGCCGCGGGGCTGCCCGGAGGAGAGCCGTGGCCCGGCCGCCGGAGGCAGAGGCGCAGGCTGAGCACCCGGGCCTGCGCCAGGGCAGCTGGGGCCAGAGCTGGGTGAGGAAACAGCCCAACCCGGTACAAATGGCACCCACCTAGGTTCAAGGGGAAAAGGAAGGCAATGAAAGCCACATGGTCTTTGAGTTTGGCTTAAAATTCAGAGGTTGAGTGCTAGATATAAATGGATCTATTCATGCTGGCCGGCAGGAACAGCAGGCTAGGGAGAACAGAGGGAGGGGGGTGAGCCCAGCAGAGGCTCTCCGCGGTGTGAGTCCTTACCCTTCCACCAGGCCCTGCTCCCTTTCCTCAACCCCAGGGTAACTTGGACCGGCCTCCGTGATGTTGATGATAAAGCACAACCACCTACCAAGGCAGAATGCGTCTTCGGTGGACTCATGCGCTTTAAATTAAAATTATTTGAGTATTTAGATATCTAATTAAGATCAAATGAGGTTAATTTAAAACAGACCACTGTGTATGAGCAGTGGAGAGTTTTTTAGTTTCATAATGTTTAAGCCGTAGCCCTAAATTTGATTCAGAGACACCCAGACCCCTTGCCAATGACATGGGCTCTGCACTTTGGGGTGCAGCAGCCTGAGCAGGCCTCACCCACCGTGACTTCATTCTCCCCCTACATCAGTCTGGGGTGCTTGGATTTTCTGAGATGGCCCATTGCTTCTTTGCAGAGATTTCTTCCAGAGTCCTGGAGCTTCAGGGTGTCAGTTGTTCTGGAAACCCCATCTGAGCTGATGTCCGTCCATGCTCTGCCTGGAACTGTCCCCTGACCCTCCCCACCCCCTCTGTGAGAGCTGAGATCACGGAGGGTTGGGCCAAGGTCAGCTGGAATGTCCAGAGCTGGCAGGAACCTGCATATGTCAGCCAAGGCCCTGTGCTAACTCCAGAAGGAAAAGTAGTTCTGAGTCTGGACTGACAATGCAGGGGTGGCCTGCCCAGGTCTGACCCCCACTCATGAGCCATGGCAGGCAGCACAGGGGCCGGCCTGCCTCCCCTGACTGGGGACCACCACCCCAGCCCTCCCTGTCTCCCCACCCACCTGCACTGAGACCCCACCTCATCTGCAGGTTCTCCTGGAGGTGGACAGTCCAGTGGGCAGCTTTCCCACCAGCCCCCTCCCACTCCACCCCTCCTACTTTTTATTTAAATCCTATCCATCCTGCAAGCTCCAAGTCAAACTCTACCTGCTCTATAACATTTTCTGGAATCATCCCAGTCACGGGTGACTTTTCTATAAGGCTGAATTCTACTTTTGAAAAAAAATTGCAAACTATCTTTTTAAGAGTAGAAATACCATCGGCAGCTGACATTCCCTGCGCACTGACCAAACGCCCATTGACACCGGGACGCCTTGCCTGGAGGACCTTACCTCAGCCTCACCAACACAGCCAAGTTCACAGTGCCTTTCCTAGCACCCTGCACGTTAATAGGAGCTCAAACGATGCTGTCCCCTTTACTACTGCTTACCTACCTCTTTATCTGTGACGGGAGAATTGCTATTTCCGTGCACAGTGCGCCCGGCGGCGCTTGAGGGCTCAGCCATTTCCCAAATGACTGCTGTGCACGTGCACCCTTGTTCTCGGAAAAGGAACAGAGCAAAGGCGGGATAGGAGTCAGCGCCCAGTGCCAGCGCCGGCGCCCGCGCCTCGGGAACCCCCCCCCCAGCAGCCCCACCCGCTGCCTGGCCCGCGCACGGCTGGAGGGGCCTCCGCGCACCCCCACGCCGGGGACACCAGCATCCGGGTCTCTCTGGCGGCGTCTCTGGGATATCCACCCCCAGCACCCACAGCGGGAGACGGGCAGTGGTTTCAATGCCAACGACGACCGCGGCTCCTTCTGCGGCTCAGGTGGGGATTCAGGTACAGTTCCTGTTTCTTGTCCTTTCAGGTGATATCAGTATGCTGACACAGTGTAGACTGGTCTTGTGCTGACTCTGCTTGGCTCCTGTGCCTCAGTTTCTCCCGTGACAACCCTACACTACCATTTCACACACTCCTGGCTCCTCCGAACGTCCCCCCACAGTGTGGGTGGGAGGGAAGCCAGTCTCCCCGCAACGGCCAGACCCGGACTTACCCGGGGTTGGGGAGCAGAGGGTGCATAGGCCACGGCTCCTCCACAGTTGCACAGACAATCGAGCAGAGCAAACAGCAATTAAAAACTAATGATCAGCAATAAAATAACCACAATAAAACTGGCATAGGATAGGCCAGAGACCCATCAAAACTGTGAATCTTGGGGGCAAACATACTCTCCTATTAACACTTGATTTACCACTTCCTCAATTAAATATTCATCACTCGGGACATATTTTTCTGGAACATCTTTTGTTAAATGTGATTCTCTGATTGTGCAGAACTGGAAGATACCTGGCTCTTCTTGGACTCTAACGCTCATTTTCTCTGGATTATCAACATTTACAAGGCAGGTCCCATCCTGAGAATGAAGTGCTGGGCCAAAGCCAGATTGATTTTGGATGCATCTAAGTGTTGCTGCACATGGTCAAAAGCATCTTGTGTGCAGGTTTCCCCTCCACTCCTGAGGGGTGCCAGCCACAGCCAGAGCCACAGTTTGCCAGGAGAACGTTCAGCCCCTACCCCACCCGAGTCTCCACAGTCAGCGAGCCCTGCTGGGGCAAGGGGCAGTACTGGCCTTTCTGGCGTAGGGGTACCGTCTCTGCCGGTCACTGCACGAGTGCTGGGCACCAGAGGCACTAGCAGGCCTGGGAAGCCAGCCTGCCCCCCTGCCCCACAGAGAGGCCAGTGACACTAGCACCCAAACCAGCAACAGGCCAGGATGGGCCCACTCCCACGTGTGACAACGATCTGGGCTAGGCACTCTCCCCAGAGGAATGCAGTCTGTTTCTGACCTTGGCATCAATGTAACCCTGTAGGATACAGTTGAACCTGGTGCCTTTCTCTCTCCATGGCACTCGTGTGGGCCATGCATGGGGATGCACACGGGTGGCGAATGCTCCTTCTCCTTGTGATGCAGAAAATGTCGATGCCGGGGATGCGGCCGATTGCCGCCTCCCCATAGTTCTGCATCTCTGGGGGCCAGTGCTGTGCGTGGCCGGTTAGAGGCACGCTGCTGGGGCCAGGTCCCTAGGCCCACAGCCGCCTGGGACACCCGAGTGCTGCCTGGGACCCCACATGCCGGAATGCCCCAGGCCCATGTGCCACGGACTGTTTCCGGCCACGCTGCTTGCGTGATCCTGATTGGGTAATTTTTAAATCCCACTGTTTTTGGTTGGATGCTAACACTTGTTGCTGATTGGATGTTAAAGCTTGTTGCTGATTGGATGTTAAAGCTTGTTGCTGATTGGATGTTAAAGCTTGTTGCTGATTGGATGTTAAAGCTTGTAGTTGATTGGACGCTTCTTGAGCCCTACCACCAAGGGTATAAACTCAGGGGCAGAAGGGGGAGAACATTGGAAGACATGAAGAGGGCTGTAACACTAGGGGTGTTGAGCCTGCTGTGGAAGAATAAACTCTTCCTACTCTTCCTGTGCCGCTCGGTTCTTTCCCAGGTCAAATGAATAAGAGCTGTAAACACTAGCTGTACACACTGCCGCAACACTTGCTCCCGCTCTCGTGTGGACAGACGCACCCCTCTCCATCCATTTGTAGGCACGAGGTATTCCTTCCATGGGTATGTGCTGGTGATTGTCAGGTAGCCAGGCTAGGGTTGGTTGAGGACATTCTCTCGGCGAACACTTGCTCATGTTTCTGTAGGGCCACCACTGATTTCTGAGCAATGCGTTGGTGACCCGGCTGGGCTTTAAGCGTGACTCAGAGGTGATGCCTTCCTGGGTAAGCTGTGCTCACAAGCGGCCAGCCAGCCCATCCTGCGACGCTGGTGTGTGTGGAAGCAGGATCGGCCCCTCGCAGAGTATTAATGCTCATATGACTCAGTGTCAATGCTCACATTTGTTGCATTCCAAAAGATAAGTGTCTGTAGCAGACAGTGACATTGTACGTTTGATTGCTGCTTAATTTCCACCTGAATGCTGAGAAATAAAACTGATGTTGAGAAGTGTGGCTCTGTGTAGACTAGCTTTGAACGTGCTCAGAAAACGGGGCACATCACAGAAGGCGCCACAGAGACATCCTTCTCATCAGTGGGGGTCTTCGAGCCAACACAGTCCTGGGGCTGCTGCAGCCCCGCCAAGGCAGACTCTGCACGGCACTCCTGTCCCCACAATCCAGGCAGATACCCACCCCCAGCTCTTCAAGGGGCTTACGTATCTGATTGTCTGCATCTCCAGTCCTTTCTTCGTTAATGAGAGACACTGCTCATGTCTGAGCTTATCCTGTTTACTCAAGAGTTTCCATTTCATCCCCACCAAGCTGGGGTCACCCAGCCTACTTCAAGGCATTTTAACATCAACACTTTTTTCTTTTTGCCGAGAAGGAATATGACACCTTCTGGAGGATGACTCCGTGGGGGTGACCCACGTGAGCCCCGCCAAGGCCAGGAATGCCTGCCTCCCCCCATTCCAAGGAGGCACACCGCTGGGGGAGGGGCAAGCCCAGGAGAGGAGCCAGATGGGTTCCAGATGTGCTTTCTGCACCAGCTACTCACTTTCTCTACACATGTCAGTTTGAAAAATACACAAACTATAAAAAGAAGAAAAATAAAACAGGAAAGAAAATATTTCCACAAAGTCAGTGTTCTCTCTCTCTCCCCTCTCCTTGGCATAAAAGAAAAGCACAATACGATGGTGAGACATTTCTCCTGGTCAGACACAGGATGCTATATTTTTAAAACACGTCTTTCCAAGAAAATTAACTAGTTCATCCTCAAAACTGAATTAAAACACCAAACATTTGCCAACAAGCAAAATTTCTTGGAAAGCAAGAATTTTTTTCATGCAAAAGAATTTAGAAAGGAAATAATGAGCTGGCCATTTCAGGGCTCCAGTAAAATTCTTTCTCTAATGAGTATTTTCCCCTGCTCTGGGTTTCTTGCGTGGCCTCGCTTTGCTTTTGGAGCTAGTCCATCCCAAAGTACATGCTTCGCACACAAAGCGGGACACCTCTGCCTGTTTAATGGCGCTCCCCGTGAAATAACAACCATTACACACGAACCGGGTAAGGGCTTGACATCTTTACCCCTTTTCTTCTTCAGAGCATGGAAGGGAATGTGCTTCCCTGGTAGGGCTTCCTGCTTCCCAGTGGCTTTTCTGCAAGTCCTTCCTTGAAAATGAGACCTGGATGCTGTGACAGACCTGGGCACACCAGGGAACCCCAGATACTGAGGCTGTGCTGCAGGGGCCTCAGGCAGCGGCCTCTATGAAGGCCCTCCTGGCTTCCAGACGTGTTGATGGGGAGGAAAGTGTGTCTGACACAAGAGGTTTTCTACCCCTTTGCCTTTCAACCAGGCTTTTCCAACTTTCTCTGCTCTACTTGTTCTTCATAAGGGCACAGGGCTGAACGACTATCAAGATTTCCACAGTATGAATGCAGGCTTGTGGAAATGGGTTCCATGAGCTAGCTGAAGGCATACGCAAATACGTGTCCTGGCCAAGAGTTCTAACTGAGGTCTCTCCTATCCTTTCCCAAAGTGGTGGTCTCACTCGGTGACAGAGCATGTGTGCCACCTTGCATTTTGGATGTATCACACATAGTCCTCATAGCAGCATCTGCCTTCTGAAAGTACACCGGAGGAAACTGAGGCAGGCAGGGGCTGGTGTCATTTAGTTCCAGGGCTTGGAAGACGCCAGGCCGGGCTGGTCTGGGTGTCTGCGTTATCTGACTCCAGGACGCCATGTTAAAGGTAAGCTCCTTGGGGACCTGCCACCTTGCCAGTTGTTCTTTACCTCTGTGGTGACAAGGTCCACTCTGGAATGCTTTAGACCCAAATTGCTTCTAGCTGCTGTGCTAGCAAAATGGTGGAATGCCATTCTGGGGCTTTACTAAAATGTTTGGAAAATTTTGAAGCCAGAAAATGGAGCAGCACCTTCAAGGCCAAAGAGCTGGCTACTGACTCAGGACTTGCTCCGGCTCACTGGGCCGGCCGACGCCAGTGCAGCTCACTGGCGGTGAAAATCCACTCTCTGGGCACCACACTCTCCCCTGCGCAAGCCTTTCACTGAGTCGACCCAACCAGCCCATTTCCTTGTCTCTTATAGACACAGCTTCAATTCCTCTAAAATGCAACGTGCACAAAAAGGAAGGAGACTTTATGCCCAGTAGCTTTAACAATAATAGCAAACAAAATGCATAACTAACTGAGACTAGATAGGATTCCACTCAGTACATTCTTTTCTTTTTTTAAGCATTGTATTATCTCCAAAAGCTTAAGGAAAATCTTAAGGCAATTAATTCAACAGAAAATATATGGCAAAGGAATAACATGAAATGGCTCCAAAATCGATAAGAAAGGAATTATGAAGCCAAATGTGAAGAAATAGAAAGGCTCATGGAACCCACAGCGGCAGTCCCCAGACCAGGGGTGGGGGTGGGGTGGCGCTCAGGTGGCGATGTGTTTCCTCACCAGCCATGGACCAGTACCTCTACCTCGCCAGTACCGGGCCCAGGGCTGGGGGCTGACTGCAGGCCCACGGCACCCTGCTTCCGGCTACTGTAAACACACTGCTTCAGGGAGGCTCCCAGGCTTTGGCAGCACTTGAGAGACAGGACAAAGAGGTTTTATAACAGGGAAACCCCAAATTTTTCAAGATTGTGGCATGCTCAAATTCTCAGATTTTTGGTGATGAAAATGCATACACACATTCTACATATTGAAGAAGATGAAAGAGATACTGTGGAATCACGTTAATGTCATGATTTCCATAAAGAGAAAAATCAGTCCCTGAATTTTGAGGCCATCAGGCCAACACATAAAGCTGCTTCTACAGCTTTATGGTAGTTTCGGCTCTCTGCATATACTAGAAAATTGTGAAAGTCACGTACTTTAAAAATTCACAATCGTAATGATGAAAACTGGTTGAGAAATCATTCTCCCTCTGTCTTGGCTCTTACGGGCTAGATTTGCAGTTTGCATCTCCGGTGTCAGATGACAGAAGTGACCTTAGGAGGCCCAAAGTTAATATTTACTGATTTAAAAATCCCAATGTGTGATCTGTCTATGCAAGAAAATTATTTGTCCTAGCACTGAGCTCTGCATCAATTAAATAAGAAACTAACTGTACAGATCTGGACACCTCTACAGCTCCTCGAGCACAACACGCACACACACACACACACACACACACACACACACACACCCTGGTTACTCATATACCTGCGAGCATAATCCTTTCCTTGTACTTTCTAGGAATTGTATTTTTCTTAACCATGCCTTATGAACATGTAATCACATACAATGTGATTTCTGAAGTCCAGATTTTAGAAAATGCTGGAGTCTCAGAGTTCCACTAGGAGAGGGCACTATGTAAGGGCGGGCCTTCTATGTTAGAAGCAATTGAAGAAGAGCCTGTTAGTGCTGCTGCCCATTCTTTATTGTAATGTTCAAAGCTAAGTGCGTTTCCTTTAAAAGTCCAAGAAGTCCGTCTCATCTAAATATAAAAACACCTCAAAGGAATATACCATTAGGAGTGTCCCAAGCCAAGAAAGTCAGAGGGAGAGAGAGTCAGAGAGACAGACAGAGAGAGACTATTCTGAGACTGAGCAACTGGGCGAAGCCCCTTCCCTAGGGTTTAAGACCAAGTCATGAACGCAACACACAGCACCGGCTTTCTGTGAGACCCTCATCATCGCCCTGTGGGGACTTTGTCTTAGAGCCCTGATTCTGACAGCCCGAATTGTCTTATCTGAGACACGGAAGGGAAAATGGAATTTTGTGACGGATATAATCTAACAGAATGATATTCCCAGACGATCCATCCCCAGTGTCCCCAGGCCCTGGTCCAGGGAGGGCGCCTAACTTCTTAACTGCTCAGGGAAAAGGACTGGTAGAACTTCTTCACGAGGGGCCTCTTCACTTTCAGGCAGGGTATTCGGATCCAGCGTGTTTCAACCGCTCCAAATGTAGTTAAAAAGGAGCCGTCCCGTCTGCCCTGCGCTGGCTGGGGCGCCCGCGAGCGCGGCCTGGGGGCGGGGTGCCGATGTGGAACGGGCGGGCGGCAGCGGGCTGCAGCGCCCAGGGCACTGTCGCGCCCGAGTGCCTGGAAGTCTGTCGGGGAAGCGAGCCCGGGGGTTCCAGCCCACCCACTCCAGGCTCGGCGTCCGCGCGCCCCCAGCCCGGCCTGGCCAGCTCACCTCCATCTGGTAAGGACGCCGGAGCCACGGGCATCCCGGCGCTGGGCGCGGCCGTGCCGGGCGCCGCTTCCTCCTCGCGGTGCCGGCCGGGCGGGGGCCGCAGTCTCGAGGTTCGGAGGCCGTCCTCGGGGCCCGCTTGGGCTCGTCCTGCCTCCGCGCTCCACGCCGGCTCGCGCCCCCCGCCCCCGGGAGCGGCTTCCCCGGCTCTGCCAGACGAGTCGCAGCGCAAACTTTTCCAGCGACCCGCCGGGGCGGCCCCGCGCTCGGCCCCGCCCCTCCCGCCCGCCTCGCCGCCCCTCGGCCCCGCCGCCGCCCGCTTCCCACGCCCCGCGCGTCTCCCGCCCTCCCGCGCACCGCCAGCCCCTGCCGGGTCGGCCTCCTGCCCTCCCCCTGCAGTCCCCTTGGGCCCGGATCGCGCCTCGGCCCCTGTCCCCGCGGCCTCCAGACCTTGCGCCCGTCGGGCGAGCTGCAGGTGCAGACCGCCAGCGCCGCAGGACCCAGCAGGGACAGGTTCCGACCGGGTCCGCGGCTGGGCTTGGCCCGGCGCCTGGCCGCGCTGACAGCGAGAGTTTGGGTCGAGCATTATTAGTAGTATTAATACTATCATTATCATTATCCTGATCACGACCATTTCCGTTTGGAATTGACCGACTTTTAGGTTAGCTCCTGGCGCCTGGCAGCACTTTTGTTTGGGCTTCGTCTTGCTTTTCCGCCCCGTCCTCCCCGCGTCCGCCTCCTGCGCTCTGCGCTCTGCCCCTCGGGCTCTCGGAGCCTCCCTAGCGCCCGGCGCCGCCCTGGGCCGGGAGCCGCGCTCCCACGCGCGCCCGCAGGTCTCAGGGGACCCGGCCTCCTGCCCCCGCCGCTGCTCCGCACTCGGATTCGCCCCTTTTGTGTGAGTAAATAAAATAATCCATGCGAAGTCTTCAAACAGAAGAATCCTCAAGGAACTGCCAAATTTCCAATTAGCAATGAAAAGCAAAGGCCACGATTGACTGGACACAGAGACAACCACAGAAGCTTTGGGGAGCACGGAGAAGACGGGAGAAAAGGCAGAGGAGGGAAAGGAGAGGCCGGGGGAGAGAAGGAGGAGAAGAGAAAGAAGAAGGAACAGGAAGGAGGACCTGCTGCAGGGCCGTGTGCCTCTGGGCAGGCAGGAGGGGCCGCAGGGGCCCTGGAGGGAGTTGGAGAGTCGTGGGGGAAAAGGTCTCTGTTGCCTTTTCACTTCTGCCCTCTTGCTGCCAGAGCCGAGCCCAGAGCACCCTTCCCTTGGGGCGGAGAGCATGACTGCCCGGGGTGTGGTTCGAGTCCGATGGGCGCCTGGGGTATTAAGGCAACAGAGTGGAAGTTGGCAGCTCCGCTCCCCGTTGAGAAATGCAAGCCCTCAGGAGCAGCAGCGCTGGCCGCGACGCTGCGGCTCTGCAGTCTCGGGCGCTCCCCCCAGGAGCGGGACCTCGCGGCGTTCTAGGTGAGCCAACGGCGCCTGCTGCTGTGCAGCCCCTTCAGCACTGCGGCTTCCAGACTTGCTGAGTGTCTCCTGCACAGCTCTGAGAAGCCATTCTGCGCCAAGTTGCAAGTGGGACTGAATGTGCCTATATTTGTTTAACTCCTAGCGCATTCACTCACTTGCCAGAGACAGGACCAATGCAGCGTACTGACCACCGTGTCATATATTACCAAAATAGTCAGTTGATTCATAAACAAATCTGTCCAGTTAGTTGGTTCTCACTTTGTACAATTCAGTGCTAGGGTCTTGGCTGAAGTTTATTTTGACGCCTGTCCAAGTCTCCATTCATGGGGAAAGTCTGTAACCCTGACATAACACAGCAACCTGGGAGCCTGGTGATGCTTCCAAACACAGCCTCAGGAATGAGACTGCTGAAGCCCTGAACAACAGGGCGCTCCTTAAACTTAACTGCAGGATTTCCTAAGAGAGAGGCAGGGATTTGACCCACAGTATCACTGAGGTCCCTAAAGATTCTCATCCTGCGCAGCTCTCCCCACACACGGGCCTCTCGTTGTCCCCGCCCCGCCCCGGCTGTCCCCCTCCCTGGGATAAAGCTCAGACACTGGCCCTGACGAGGGGCTCTGTCCACATAGACACTGCCTCTCTCGTTTCTTCTCTCGAAAGTAACAGCCCTCTCTAAAATTCCGACTTTCTTGAATAAGTCTCTCCCCCTCTGCATCCCTGTTTCACCAGGGAAAGCAATTTAATAGAAAAATGCCAGCTCATAAATGTGGAAGAAATGGGGGAATTAGGAAATTTCCTTTCTGCAGCCCTCTTTGAAATAATTCAGTCAGGCAGAGCGCACTAGTGGGTGCTAAACCCTTGGTGAAAGTGTGTAGACGAACTGGTTCGTCACATGGTGCTAACTGGGAAAGGAAAAAGGTTTTCCGTTTTCCAAGAAGACGTCTGGTCGTTGGCACCTTGACAAGGGATCAAACTTAATGTCACCAATACTGGTTCAACCTGGCATTATGTGGTGCAAAGTGAAGCATACAATATCATTGCTGCTGTGCTCTTGCCAAAAATGTTTCCCTTGAATCAATCACCAAGACTCTAAACTTTACTTCCAGTTTACAGGAAATAAAAGGGATTGAGTGATAAGTTAAGTGACACTATGGGAAAGCAACCAGATTAGTCCAGGGTGTAGGATAAGCTGCAGTCAGTTGTCTGATCTCTTAAAAAAAAGGCAATGTCATGAAAAACGTGGAGGACAGTTCTAGTGTAAAAACAGCTAAGAAGAAGAAACATAACAATAAGCATGAACCCAGACTGGCTCCTAGCTGGACAAGTCAGCATGGAAACATTCTGGAGAAACTTCCAAACTGGACAGGATACTGAATCATATTATGCAATTATCATTAATGTTGTTAGGTGTGATAATAGCACAATGTTTATGTAGGAGAAAGGCTTTATTTTTAGATGCCTGCTGAAGGATTTCTGGGTAAAATGTCTTAATGTCTAGAACTTATTTTTAAATGGCTCAATACAAACAGTATGTATACATATGCTGATACGACCAACTGCTAGCAATTATTGGTTCTGGGTGGTGAATTTGGGAAAGGGGTTGTACTATCTGTTCCTCTTTTCTCTACATTTGAAATTGTTCCATAATGAGAAGTCGGAGAAAAATAAAATAAAATTGTATTTATTTAAAATACTAAAGACTAAAATAAAATTAAATATTTCTCCACCTCTGTGTTCAAGCTTTAAAATCAAATCTAGGCTTATGAGAATAAAATTGAAAGTTGCTATGAGTTACATTGGTATATTTTTCACAATCATGTGGCTTCAATCTTAAATACGATTTAAACAAATAGATTATATATTATAACATATGTAATATACTCTTGCATACTTATTTGCAATTTAAAAAGGAAATGTATTTACTCTCCCCCAAAATCAGAACAGGGTGGTGAAAGGACGTCCAGTTTTAGGGCTCTATCCCAAAGCGAGACCTTGCCCAGCAGGGCCAGGGCATCTGCATCGCAGGAGATGAGGAAAGAATGAGCAAATGCACCTCCTTCTTCCTCCCGCCGCCCTCCCGGCCCCTGCCTCCGGGACCCCGATGCCTCCCCGTCCTTGGATCTGTTTAGCTCTTGTCACAGGCTTCAGTAGACAATCAAGATCTGAGTAAGCATGCACACACGCTACCTTTTTGGTTGTCCGAGGTCCCTCCTCAAGCAAACACTCAGAAAAATGTGCTGGCCGGCGTGCGCCTGTGGGGGCTGCAGATCGCCAGTCCAGGGACGCAGCAGCAGGCCCTCGAGAGTCCTGGCGGTCCCTGAGGAGGGCTGTCTCTGGCAGGGGCAGAGTGGATTGGTGATGGTCAGTTGTGCCGAGCAACTTGGTGTGTGGTCGAACATTATTCTGGGTGTGTCTGTGAGGGTGTTTGGGACGAGATTGACATTGGATCAGTAGACTGGGGAAAGCAGATCAGCTTCCCGTGCGTGGACCTCACACAATCGGTGGCAGGCCTGAACAGACCTTTTGTGAAGACAAAAGGCCAAGACCCTCCCTGGTTACAGAGGACTCTCCTGCTGCCTGTCTTTAGACGGGTGCTTCCTGCCTCCACAGCGGCTCGCCGGCCTCTGGACTTGAACTGGGCCCAGCTCTATGGGTGTTGGACGTGTCAGCCTCTGTGATTGCGTGAACTAGTTCCTTACAATGAATCTCTTTGTGTGTGTGTGTGTGTGTATATCTCCCACTAGTTCTGTTTCTCTGGAAAGCCCTGACTGATCCAGTGGCCCCAGGGAAAGGGCAGAACTTTTCACAAATACAGGCCACTGTGGCAGAAAGGAGCCCTGGGAAACACAGGGGACTCTGGTCTTGTGGTCACTTCATCTGCAACTCAACAAATATCCCGGAGCCATTTCCTGTCAGCTGGCTTACTCTACACAGAACTTGGAAGAAATAACTTAAAAACATTGATCTACACTGGCTCTCGCCTATAATCCTAGCACAGGGGTGGGGACCCTGCAGCCTTAAGGACACATGTGGTTTTCTAGGTCCTAAGTGTGGCCCTTTGACTGAGTCCAAATTTTACAGAACAAATCCTTTAATTTTTATTAATACATTTTTGTTGGTCTTTATATTTTTATTTTACTTTTAAAATGAACTTATTTTAAATACTAAGGACTAAAATAAGCTCAATAAAATAATCCTCTCAGATTAACCAGCACAATTAGAACATTAGTAAGCCAAAAGGGCTAAATTGATGGCTGCTACTCTCATGATTTAGTTCCAACTTCCCCTCCTGACTGGCGCCACCGCCGCACGAGGCTGGCTGGTGAGAGTTTATGGGGGTCTGAGTACGCCAGTCTGTTATCAGCTTTTGACAGCAATGCACTGTGTTTCTGCTTGAAATGGAATTTTGAATAGTTGCACAGCGAGACAGTATTTTTAAATTCTTAACAGCCCATCATGTCGAAGAAGACCAAGATAATGCTAAAGGAAGAAAACAAAATTTTTAATGAGGATTGGGAATTACAATGTTATCTTGTTTCTGCTAAAGATAAGATAATTTGCTTGCTTTGTGATACTGCAATATCAATATTAAAGAAATTCCATGCTCATCAGCATTATAACACTCATAAGGACCAAAAATATTTTATATTAGAGGAAGAGGCACGAAAGATTGTATTGCAGAAATTAAAAGATGAAAAGCAAAAGCAAACATAATTCTTTCAAGTAGCAATAAGGCCTGGAAATAATGCCACTGAAGCAACT